GGCAACCGTCCGTGTCGCCCATATCTAAAACTGCTACTGGAAGGGACAACAACAACAATTTATTTATCACCACTTTAAACTGATCTTTCTTTCAGTTAAATATGAAACAGATTTTCTGTTCTTGGGATGTAAACATCCAGCAACACATTTCAAAGTATTAACTTCTGGGAAAATGCCTTGGAATAAACACTTTTGTTTGAAGTGATTTAACTTCTCCCTGCAGACTGTTAACTGCTTCCTTTGTTTGTGACAGATGGCAAATGGAAAGCTCTATGGGGTCCTTAATTTTGGAGCAAATATATTTTCAGACAACAAAAGCCAAACTTTTTTCCCTTTTCTTCTTTTCATTTTTTTAACCCTTTGTGATGAGATAAGATGTTGCCATTACTTAAATTGCTCTCCAGATTTTTTCCCTTTTTTGTCTATGTGTCCTTACATTTTTGTTTACTTGCTTATGTAAACTGTTTATCTAGATTGCAATTGCCTGTCTTTCCAGGAAATTACATGACCATGGCACTTCCCATTGGTGAAAATGACCAAGAGACAACCAACACAATAACCAATCATACAAGTTAAAGTAATGGGAGTTTTTAATATTCATGTATCTGCTTTATAAAAGTCTATATTTATGAAGTGCTGGGATGAGAACAGAGGACAGTAAAACCACCAAAATGAAAGGCACCTTCGCCTTGAAATGTGCTGATTACTTTTTCTCTGTGTAAGATGAAAAGAGACTTCCTGAGGGAGGGATGGGAGTGGGGATTGTCAGCAGCTGGACTTTTTCGCCTTGCTTTTTGCTTTTGGTTTTTGCTTTCATGCTTTTATATTCACTCAAACTCAGAGAGGCAGACTAAACCCATTTCCTCCCATAAATATTCGTCACAATGAATTGTTTCTTATTTAAACATTCTTACATATTTAAACATAAAATCTCTTTCTGCATTGGTGTATGTTACCTAAAGCAATAGTTTAACATTTTGGGATAAATAAATTTGCTTTCTTGCTGAAGGTATATATCTTGCACAACTATAAAGACCCAACCAGCTTTATGCTTTCCAGCATAAAGACTGGAAAGCAGGAAGTATATCTATTTATTTATTTATTTATTTTTATTTGGTGGGGGGGCTTTTTATGGTTTTATTTTTGATAGGGACAGCAAAGACTGACAGGAAAGTGGAGGAAAGAGAGAGGGGAAGACATGCAGCAAATAGCCGTGGGTTGGACTTGAACCCAGGCC